GAAATTGTTGCTAATGAGTACTCTTAAATGCTAAAATATTGACATTTTTTTCAAATAAATAAGTGATCAGGCAATCGTCTTTATAAAAAATTGTTTATACTAACCTGAGTTAACAAACGGGACGAATAATTTGGATGTGTTACGTTCGTGTCAGATTCTGTCCACAACAATTTTGATTAGAGGGTTATTCGTTATGATGATCGTATCAGATTATTTCCGTCACAACTTTAATCAAAAGATTATTAATTCGTATTTATTAAATATGTCAAATAAGAAAAATAACTAGTGTTATAATTCTATCATTAATATGATATAATATATGTGGAGAATATGTCCACAACAACTTTGATAAAATGGGTGAAAAAAAGTTTATGATGCAACACAAAGTTAAAGGAAGTTTATAAAGTTGAAATATCCAAAAATTAAGTATATAAATATAATATTAGCTAAGCAAATATGATGACTATATAAAAAAAAAGTACTATTCGCTATCATTAATGGAGTTTTGAACTGACCTAATATTTTTCGCTTTTAAAATTGTGGATTTAAATTCCTAACAGAACTAACAAGAATTTGTATTTGCAACATTCAAATTGAAGTGGACTTTTACTTTTCCATAATGCAATTCAAGTTATGAGCCAACAATTTTCAACCTATGGACTTGTTTCGAATTTGAGTTCACCAACAAAATAAAAATTTGTTTATCAAGAATCAATTTTTTGACTAATGACTCCACACAACAAATTTTATTCAAACATGGCTTATCATTCTGATTAAACATTATTAGTCAATATTAAAAGAAATTTGATAAATTAAAATCAATAATTTTAATTAAAATTTCATTAAGAAAACTATGTTTTTTCTTACTTTTTGTTTATAATATAGTTATCTTAAAATATTTAATCTTTTAACTTAATGTAATAATACTGTTACGAATATTTATATTAATAAAATTAATTCAAATTCATAGTATGATGACCATTTGTTTGTAACACAATATATTGGATTATATTATATAAATTTGTTTTATAAATATAAAAATGTGATTAGTTTGATTTAAAATTTTAAAATATTACTTTACTATCTAATATAAAAAGTAAAGCCATTAAATAACCTTAGTATTAATTTTTATTATTTAGACCAAAATAAAATCAGAAAATTCATGGTTAATTAAAGAGAAAAGACATAAAGTTATCGAATGTGTGCATAAAAATATTTTAACTTTGGAAGTGTTCTATTATCCCATAATACATTTAATAATATCTTTGTAAATTGATCATTTTGAATGGTAAGGCCAAATGTATCATAAGTGGGGATATGAGACATAATCGTCCAAGAGTGAATATGTATCTAAAATTGAATAGTAGGAGCAAATATATTAAAATAATATGACGAAGGACAACATATAACCATTTTCTAAAAATATTTGGGCAAATATGACTTTTTTCATTTTTTTAAAAAAATTTGGGCCACTAACGAACTGATCTTATTTTTAATAAATAATATTCAAAGTATTATATCATACATTAAAAAATAAAATCAACATATGTGAAAAAAATATAATACATTCTTAACATATCTTACAAATAATAATTCCTAATTACATTAAAATAAAATTTGAAATTTAGATATAATACATTTTTAACATTGATAATAAGAGAGAAAAAAAATATACAATAGTTATAATACATTTTGAATTTAATAGTTTCCTTTATATATATTGTATATCATAAGTTGTTTCATTCCACATGGTGGATATACAAGTAAAAGATTTTTAATACAAATATATTATAACATTCGATCATTCTTTTCTCCAAATATTTCGAAGTGGAGTTAAAATATGTACAATATTAATAAAAAATAAATAAATTCAGAGATAATAAAATTTTAGTTCACATAATCTAGAATTACTTATGTCTTATGCTATCAAAAAAAGAAAAACCCAAATCTGTCAAAGATGAGTTGATAAACAGAACACACGTGATCATGGTTTATGAAATCAAGCTTGAAAACATCAAAAGTTTGAGTCTAATAAGGAAATTGATCATCCAAATTGTCCTCTAGGTAACAATAGAAAGCTTGTGGCTTTGATGGTCTTATACCGATACATAAATATGTTTTTTTAACTTGATTTTAAATTACATTTATATTCTATAACTTTTGGGTGTATAAGTAGACACTTATATTTTGTAAAATTGAACAAATAAACACACATGTCTTACATGACATCCTACATGTCATTTTTTGTTGTACTGTGTTTTGTCACATAGTACTCATGTGTCTACATGGAAAAAATTCATGGTAAAGAGAAGTTTGTAACTTAATCAACATTCACTAGAGACTTTGAGGTTATGGTTAGGCGAGAGAATTTGTGAACCTCTTTGTAATCCGAGTAAATTGAGTGGAGTTATTTTTCTCTATATTTTATACTCTCATATTTATATATACTGAATTGTTCATTTTTTTTTTGGGAGGTAGGTAAATTGATCACTAGTTTGCTTTCTTACACATGATCTATCTAGCTTACACCTAATTATTTAGGTCATAACACTAGGTTCCCCTTCTTGTGTCTGTCTAATAATCTTTAAAAATAAACATATGATCAACCATTAATTTATCAAAAATAAAAAAGAAATTGCATAGTAACTTGAAATTATGGCATGAATTCCTATACTTCAAAATTCTGAATCCACAAAGCTAGTCACTCTTAAAATCTTATTAATTGATCATTCGTTCTAACTTGTGAATAACAAATAACATTCACAAAGGAAAAAAATTGCACGAGAGTAGTAACTAGCAACTCATAATATTAATAAATTGCTTTCAAAACAGAACAGCAACTTACAAATAACCATATTATAACAGTAGAAAATTTTACTCCAAATCAATGCTGTTCTCAAGGATCAAAGGGCCTTGTTAATTCATCAAACAACATCTTGTCCCTTACCCTCATTATTACTAGTTTCACCACAATTCGTACAGCGCCAGCATAATTTTCCCCTCAGCCACCCAAATCTACAATCTCTCTGTTTAACACTATCCAACGGTGTCACAGGCTTCCGATTCCTACAATACCTTCCCACTAAACAAGAAAGAATCGCGAGAATAGTTAACACAGAGATGACAGCAAAAAATGGCCCTATAGACCCTGAAGAACGCCAAGCGCTGTTTGGCACTGCTTCAGGGTACGGCACTGTTTGTTGAGGTTGTTGTTGTTGTTCGTTAGGCCAAATTGTTGAATCCGTGTTTGCCATTTCTTCGTGAGTGTATATATGTGTTTGTTTGTTTGTTCGTTCGTTCACAAACAAACTATATATAGTACGCAAAGAAGAAAAAACAGAGGACTCTGCATATTTCATTAATTCGATTTTTTTTAAAAAAAAAAGTTATGTCGGACCAATAAAAGGTATAACTGAGAGGCGTTGTGCTTTTAAATGTGGCTTTAAAGAACCAGAGTGGAATTACAACATGGAAAGGCAAATGGAATTCAGAAATCTTACTCACATTATCACGAAATATTTTATTTAATAATCGTGGTGTCCGAATTAATTTATACATCATGAGATATTTATCATACACTTTTATCAAGTAATTGTATATGTCAGTTCCAACATAAATAAAAAGAAATAATCAAATATTTGAAATTTAAACTTAAGATCTCATAGTTTTCGACTCAGTTATTCCAACTTTTTTGCATGTATTTTCTTGTTTCTGCATGTGCTTATCTGAAATGGATATTTGACTTTTTTACATATAAAAAGAGTCCCATGTGGCTACACTTTGCTCTTTTTCCTTTTCATGAATAATCTTCTTTGCTAAGGCATAGGCCATGTGAATATATATTAGTCAAATAAGTTAAGTAATTTCAAATTACCCATCATAGTTTCTAAGAAATTTAAGTTATAATAGGTACCAGTCAACTATAACACCGTTACTAGCTTGCTATATGTAAAGATTTATAAATCAATTTAATCTGATGATATAAATTTTTTTACAGAGACTAATATGAAGTTAAAGTTGATATTTAATTATTACTATAAAGTATGAACCTTTTTGTGTGTTGTTATTCCATTAATTCTTCGTACCTAAGTTAGTTAAATATATCCAGAACATTAATTTAAAATAAATATGGGCCACCATGATCAAGTATTATCCTTACTTTCTCCCTATCTTTTTTCTTCCCTTTTTAAACGTACGTTGGGCTATTAGATGTAGTAGAGAATTGAAGGATTGTTTTAGGGGTGTTCGTGGTTCGATTTGGATTGGATATTGATTAAGTTTAAAATTAAATCAATCTAGTCGATTTTTTAAATTTCTAAAATCAAACCAAATCAAACGAAGAAAATAACCATCGATTTGGTTATTGTCAATTTGAGTTTTTCTGGTTTATTCAGTTTGAAAGTAATAAATTTTTTGAATACGTACATATCACGATAGACACAAACACCAATTACATGGAAATTTTTACCAAACTAAGTAATTATATAAAACAATTTACCAAAGTAATACATTTTTCTAAAATTTTACAAAATTAGTATAAACGTATTTCATGGTAACGTTTTAGGGCACATTTTATTTTTTAAAAACTAACAGCATTAGGTTGATATACGTTACTGTAAGTAACGTTTTACTTTTTAAACGTTATTTTCAGTAACGTTTTACGAGTAACGTTTTAGGAGTAAAACGTTATTGTGAGTAACGTATATTAATCTGACGCCATCAACTTTTAAAAAATAAAATATATCCTAAAACGTTACTGTGGAATACGTTTATACTAGTTTTGTAAAATTTTAGAAAAACATATTATTTTGGTGAATGGCTTTATATAATGGCTTAATTTGGTTAAAATCTCAATTACATGAACAATCTACAGAAAAGCTAATGTCGGTTCAGTCAAGCAATTAAACAATATTAGAGTGTGTGACTATTTTATGTGAAGTACATTATGTAAAGACTAAAATTAATTTTGATGAACTTGGATTTGAGATTATTATACTTAAGCTAAAGTGTTGAGCTTGAGAAAATGATAAATTAAAGACTTAAGTCAATTAGAATTTAACAAAATATTTTTAATTTATTTATAAATAATATATAAATAATTATAAAATTCATATATCTAATTTATCGTTTCGATTTGATTATTTTTGTGGTTGTTTTTTTAGTAAAATCAAAATCAAACTAAATAGTATCGATTTTCAAAATTTAAAATCAAATCTAACCAAACTAAACCAAATATTAATTTTTTAAAATCAATTTTATTCAAATTACGATTTAGTTTGATCGTTAACTATAACCATAAACAACCCTAATTGTTTCAATATATATTAACGTTATTGGTGAGCTTAGTTAATGCTAGGTTCTACCTTATCCTATAGTTTTAGTTCATTTTCAAATAGAGGTTCTCTAATCCATATCAAGTGGTATTCAAAGTATAACACGTACCTTAAAAGAAGAATATTTAAGGACACAAATTGATGGTTAATTTTTTAATATTAGTCCTTTGATTATTTTCAAACTATTTTGCTCGAATATATAAAGTAGTTAATAACTTACTAGATGAAAGGAAATATTTCAAATAATTTTCTTAAACTTTAAATAATTTACTTATTATAAACTATTAAAAAGGTTTCAACAATTCACTTAATACGAACAGGAGAGAATATTTATTATTCAGTGTTCACCTCCCACAAACATTTTCAAATGAGATTCAAATTTATCCTTATTACCCCCTACTCATCCCAAAATAAATGTAGGGAAAATAGCGCTTGCACCCTAAGAAGGAAACTATTTACAAGCGGTTATTCACTATTTTCGTACTTCTAATTTTAATTATAAATTCACGTTTAATGCTTGATATTATAAGAGTATATATATATTGTGATGGTATTAAAGAGGAAGAACCAATGCTTCAATGGAAACTCTACTCAGTTACTCTGAAATATCATTAGAGCATGTATACTTTAATGGTATCAAATATATATATATATATATATATTAAGATAGGTGATATTTTGGTTTCTTCATGTTTGATTGAATTGGATAAGTTTTGGCCAATAAAAGCTACTATTAAATATTGAAGATAATAAATGAAATGGTTCAATAAAAAACAAAGGAAAAGGGTTTGATATAGCCCTCAACTTCGTCATTTGAAGCTGATATAACCCTCTTTATTAAAATAACTCATATATGTCCTTACCGTTATACAAACGGTTCACATATACCCCTACCGTTACGAAATGAACTCACATATACCCTTCATTTAACGAAAGTTAATAAATTAGTTTAAAATTTATATTTTTTACTTTTAATTTTTTAAAAAAATTATTTAGGGGTATATATGATTCTTCTATCAAAGTTTAAGGTATATTTTCATTTTTTTCATACATAAAATTATTTTTTAACTTCTTTTATAATAATTATTTGAGTTTGTTATTTTTATTTTATTTTTTCTTTCATTTCTTAGTTTAAAGAAAAAAAATCTAAAGTATTTTTTTATCTATATTGTAATTTGATTTTTATATTCTCAGAAAAAAATTTGGTTATCTACAATAGTTTTACAAGAATATTAGTGAAACATAAATAAATTTGATTATCAAAATAATAATTCTAAATTAGTCATTGAAACAAAAAAAAGTCAAAAAAAATATGTTTGACGAGGATTAAATTTACTCATATGGGATTATATTTTTTAGAAAAAAATAATAAAAAATTAGATTAAAATTAATTTTTTTTCTCATTTCCATTAGAGAAAAAAGGTATATGTGAGTCAATTGCTTATAAGTAGGGGTATATATGAGTCACTTTCATAAAAACAAGGGGTATATCAGCTCTAAATGACAAAGTTGAGGGGTATATCAAACCCTTTTCTCAAAAAACAATACAATTTCTTACATGTTTTCCAGTTGACCCGTAAAAAATAAAATTTTAAGTTACTATCCTATTAAATTGTATAACTTAATTAAAAAATAAATCTTATTTTTATGAATTTTATTTTTAGCATTAAACATAACTAAAAAAAATATTAAAAAATTATGCGAACGGAATGAGGCAGATTGAAATGATAAATATTGCTATGCAGGCGGAGCGAGACAGGGTGGATTACAAATTTTTGAGTTAAGCTCAATCTGCACTGCCTCGTCCTACACCGCTCGATTGCCATCTTTATGAATAGTGGTTTACCGAATAGAACAAGTGGGATAGTCAAGTAAATAGTCTGGTATTGAAGTGGTCCAATTTGAATAAGTATCCAACTTATGCAGTTTTTCCATAAATGTAAGCTTAGTAAAAAAATAGTCACAAAATAAGTTTAAAGTTAAAAATTCAAGATAAAAATTAGTATATTCTTGAACTATACCATTTTACTTCATTTCAAAAATAGTTATCAATTTTCAAAAGATATTTATTATATAGAAATAATTTAATTTTATCCACTACACGTTGTATTTATTAATTTCATAATAGACTTAATTTTTACTAAGATAGTAATTATTTTGAGACAAATAATGTAATTTTGTTAGACATTGAAATCTAAGTGTCAACCTAGCAAGTATATTTGAGAAGACTCTGAGGGTGTATACAGACGTTCACATCGATATATTGATTGTGCAATGAGACGGAGTCGAACGATATCTAGATCTAGAATATGTGAGTGAAATATATATCTAAAAAAATAAATTTGATTTTTATATATGAGTCTGAATCGAAATAAATAATTTTTGGTTTGTATATATGAGTCTAGGGGTTACAAATGAGTTGTTGGAGTTGATTTTGGGTGAGCTTTTGTCGTGAGTTAAAATTACTACATTAAAATTAATTTTTATCAGTAATTAGCAATTGTCGCTAAATATGTACTTTTAGCAACAATGAGCATCTTTATATATGTCCCTAAAGGCTTTAACGACATTAAATCTAATGACACTTAACTAACGCCGTTTAAGACTTTAACACTCTTTATTAATATATTTATTTACTGCCGCTAAAAGTTGTTTTTTGTTATAGTGAATGGATCGTCCAAACTTAGCTCATTTATAAAATGGGAAATTTTCGCAAATAGTCACTATAATAAATTTAATTATGTTCCATCATAGATATAGTTTGCATATTTACGGATTGTAGCTACAGTTTAAGTTGTCTTGTTTGTATAATTTGAGAATTTGTATAATTAACATGTTTGTATAATTTGCGGGTATATTTGTATAATGCAATTATTTTTATATAAATTCGAAATAACAAATTTATACAATTACAAACATCAAAAGTGTAAACAGTTATACAAATTTATATAATACAAATTTCAAATTATATACA